TCCCCTCCCCTCCCCTCCCCTCCCCTCCCCTCCCCTCTAATGAGCTTTAGTTCTGCTGTGAATCAAGCAGTGCTGCCCAGCCAAAACTGAAGAAAGAGGACTCACACATTAAATCAAATTCCACTCTGGCTTCTGAATGACCTACTAGACTGTGTTCCTTCTGTGTTGTCCCATTTGACGTAAGCATCACTTCAAGACCGAGATTTTTTTTTATTTATTTGCCCACTGCTGTATAATAGTTGATATTTATACTGCTGTAGGCACAACTTATGCTCTTAGTTATAGATTTTTATTATTATTTATTATATGCACAGTGCTACACAAATACATTGCGCTGTGACCTTTGAACCAAGGAATTTTTAGTGTAAGTTTGAGAAGAAAAGAACTAACAAATAAACAAAAAAATCCAAACAGCTATAGAAGAAGCATAGGGCATAAATAACCTGAACAAGGACATCATGTGGACAATTTTACCGATAAAGTCACCCTGCCATTGCTGGTCCACTTTGTATCAGCCTCTCTCCCTTCTCTCCATGAGACCTGGCAGGAAGAGAGCAACTGATGATTGTTTACCACTGTCTATTCCCCTTAAAAGGTGCAAGCACTGGCAGTACACTGGGTGCCTCCACATGATGGTGGCATCTTACCCAGTATTGATCAAACTAATTTACCAGTGCCTGAGTTATCCACCTATGGTTGAGGGTAGTGGATAAGAAGTACTACAGACAAACTCAATATCCTTTTTCAAGAAGTTCTAGAAATGCAGACTGTACGTGGCTTGTTGGCTTTTACACATTTGGAGCAAAACACGACAAAACTGGTTTTACAAACCTGTTAGTTCTCCAGAGCATGAGGCTCTGGAAGGTGCAAAAGAGGTAACCAGAGGCTGGCACAGAGTCTGCCCTGGTCTCTTTCACCACTGCTGCTGTGATTGATCCTGCCACAGCCTCTCCTGTCCCTGGTAATGATGGCGGCAGAAGGAGTGGGGACAGGAAGCTCAGGAGCAGCAGCAGAATGGGCTTTCTATTCCATGTTCATTTTAAACTCCTTTCAGAGGAAGGAAAATGGATATTGTGGATACTACGAATATTATGAGAGAGAGAGAAACTGATGTGTGAGAAAACAAAAATACTTCAGCATAAAGATCATTTGAAAGCATTAAGATGCTTTTCATTTTGAAACTGTGGAATATTTGCAATGTATTTAGTAAAGGAGCCCCTTATCTCCAGGAACTGTAACTGCATTAAGTTCATTTCCACTCTAATATGTCTCTGCTGAGGTGTTAGCTACCAGGTTGTGTATAAAAAATACATACAAAGTATTGTCCAAAGAGTTCTTCAACTTAAGTACTGAACACCTGACTTTCAGGGTCTTGGTCTCAACAATATGCAGATGCCCCATCAGAAATGTGGGCAGCCATAGAGTTTTCAGGGAGGTGAAAGAGGTGATAAAGACAGACTAAATGTCCTAGAAGCTGTCCAAATCTCCAATCTAAAAGACAACAGACTTCTTACTATTTTAGAAAACTTTTTGTTGGAGATACTGTGGAAGAGAGGAGCAGCAGATAAGGAACCCAGAGGATTAGGAAGTATTTAACTTCATAAAGTTCTTTATCAAAGGGTGAATCTGTCCTATTGGCAGCTCAAATGATTTTCTAACAGGAATACCAATTGTACAGGGTAGTGGCAAGCAGTAATTAACTGGATTGAAAGTATTTTCTCTTGGCACCCTGTAAAGTGGGCTGTGTTATGAAGTAAACATATGCAGACTAAAGTAGCCATGGACAAATGCATCCACTGAAATACTGAAGCTGCCAGTCATAGGAAACTACTCAATCATTAGCTGAGATAAGAAAAAGGAGGTAATCAAATCATCGGACCAATTTGCCATGCACTTAGTTCATGTAATTCACTCCAGAAAAGGATCAGGCACTATTAAATGTCTGTCATAGTATTTCCTAAATGTGGAATGTGACAGTGTTTCCATGGGAGCAAAGGAAGGCTTCCAAGTGTAACACAAGCCACTAAAGTAATAAAAAGATAATTAATGATATTGGCAAGAAAATGCCTAGGATTGAGCTCAGTAAAATGCTTGGAGATTCATGTGGATCTCAGTCCTTCTGGAGTCCCACTGTCTCCAGTATTCCAGTACTGTGAGGGAGGTCAGGGCAATTAAGAATTATATACAATTAATAATAAACAAAATGAAGGGATTCATTTGTGTTTCTATATATACTCCTACTTCCCAAACAAGACTGCTTTTCTTTTTCTAAATATACAAGCAGAGAGTTACTTATGTATCTCCGGCAGGCTAGTTCACCATGATGCTGGAGTTCAGGGCCTCAAGAACCCTGAGTTCCAATATATGGTTGTAGATGTTTTTAACTGATAGATTTTAAGCTTATCAGTAAATGACATTAATAAATTAAAGAGAAGTCGAGAAAATGAGCATAGATCTCTGATTTTGTTCGCTTTTACTTTTTCACATCCATTACACCAGTTCCGCAGAAAACATGTATTTTAAATCCACCGTATTGGAGATGAGGTGATCCAAAGCACCACAAAGAATCCCAGCTTGACTCACTCTTTCAGCATGATAAGATTTGTCATTAGCACTTACTCCTCTGCCTCACAGGGATCACTGAAAGAAGCTTAGTGTAACTAGATGACAAATTCTTATTCCTTTATAAATTTATGACCCAAGCAGCTCAACACAGGAAATCAAAGTGGAGGACTCAAAGATGGAATCCATCCACCAACAATGCAAGTGTTTCCGTTTGAGCAGAAGTGATCATTTAGTAGACAAGGAAAAACTAGTTTTTGGAGTCCAGGGATCATACAGAGATGTTAACATCTGATCGGACAAATGCTATTCTTATCTCCATTGATGTGCTG